TATAATAATAACTTATAATAATTTATGACTTACTTTAAAACATATGCAACTTGGCCTCATTTGCTCTGAACAAGATCATCCTAATTGTTAGTCATCAGTTTTCTGTTTTTCACAACTTGTCATACAGTTTTTGCTATGAATTTCTCTTTCTGCTTTGAAATCCATTTATCTCACTTAAAAATACGTCAGAGTTTATCTTCGCCTTTGAACTAATCAAAACATTGCATTTCATTTCAAAACTTGATGCAAATTATTTTCCTACATACTTTATTATTTTCCTACTTACATTATAATTACGACAAATTATTTAACTTTATTTTGATTTGTTCTCAAATTAAATTATTGTGTAAATAGTATTTGCATATTCTGTAAAAACAGCAACAGCAGTTTATTTATAAAGGGTGAAAATATGTATTTTTACTTTTTCCCCCTGTTCACAAAATGAATATTAAAAAGGTCAAAACTATTTTTATAAACACTACTTTACTTAGAGTTTGTGTGGTGGACAAGTTTTCCAACTATTCATTTTATTCAGCTGGATTTATCTACTTTTCAATCCAGACTTTAAAGTAGACATATGCTGCTTYTAAATCCTTCTTTTTCAATTGAAATTGTTCAGTTTGGGTTTATGCAAAATGGAACTGCAATGCTTTGGAATGTTTTCTTATTGTAACTCCACAAGCCCCTCTTTCAACAGTTTTCGAGGCGTGCCTCAATCAACTCATTTTGAGGCTGTCTCTATAAATGCAAACCAGGTGCTTATTTGATGTAATAGTTCAGAAAACRTCATATAAAATACAGAAAACTGAATGACTTGAATCACATGACCCAAGCAGATTATGAAGAGATATCTATGCAGCACCGGGAAAAACTAATTTAAACTTTTCTGCACTCCTGGAGACTCCAAGTACACAACAAAATGTATTTAACAGCATGATATGCCCCTTTTAAGTGACATTGTGATGTCAGTTTATTAATGAACTAATGTGACAACAAAGACAGCTCACTGTGCTTGTGGCATTCTGTGAGAAATGTATAGAACCAGCAGAAACAAGTTATTATKATGACCTACTGTGATTGGTTAGCAGATGGCATTAACAAACTGTTCGTATGCAAGACAAATAAATTTAATGATAACTTGCAGCTATTATATAATACAGAACAAAAAATCTAGTYCATTCTCATTCTTTATATGTAGATTAATACTTAGTGCCCAATTAGTGCAAATCACTCTCACATAGAAATGCTCTAAACTCTTCAGTTTGCTCTCCTGCTGCAGGACGGGTGTTTMTAATAGGTCCAGGCAGCTCATGAGGAGATCTTTATTACTCTGAACAGGAATTTTAACCTTTTATTTTTCACAGAGTCACACATTCCACTTTAGTCAACAAAGATAATTGGGACCAATTAGGATAAAGTCTGAGGTAAGTTTTATTCTTTAAAGTGGATTGTCTCTTGGGCCCGTTCAGAAACTGCACCTAAATTATACAGATTGRCATAAAACCATGTACAAAACGGCTAATAGCTGCCTGTGAGGTCAAAGTGCATTTCTTAATAGCTGCACTGTACAGCAAACACAGGCTTCATTTTTCTCTGCTGAAATTAAATTACTTTAGCTAATTGTAAAGTTGACAAAAGTGAGTCATCGTGAACAATTCWGACTCGCCTACTTGGCACAGTCTGGCTCCACTCTGATTTCTTTTCATTTCAATAGTCAGAAACCTGAAGGAATCTTTCTTTTCTTCCTCATTGTGTTGATGCTTTGAGACATTTAGCTTCTTCTATTTTTCCTTTTTTTAAGTGTGTGTGTGGGGAGTTGAAGGAGGTGGTGTCTAATACTGGAGTGATTTCAGTTGAATTAAATGTCACATTTGTTTASAGTTTTATTGCTAAACTTGAGGATCCCAGGCAGGACTGATCYACAGCGCCTAGCTTCATGTCCATATTTATGAGTATTCCCACTCAAAGGAAGTATAAAAGATTTGTATACTGCACTGTCAACTCAGTTTCTAAAGATTTTTTTTCTTTTTTCTGGGTTTGAGAGCTGGCAAATCAGACTCTTTCAAAAAAAGAGAAAAGAGAGGAGGATTAGGTTTGATTGAAAGAAGCCTGGTCGTTTRTAAGGCCGTGCGACTTCAGAGTGAAGTGATTATTAGCTGAGCCAAGAGATACCAATGAATCACATAAAACACTTAATCTTCAAATAGCTTTTCATTACAATTTTATAGACTGTGACTGTSTTATAAAGCAATATCCCCCCTCCCCCCGCTCCATGGCACCGACTTTGATTCAATTTCTCTTAAAATTGTGGATTGCTGTAAATTAATTCTGTGTCTGTTGGGATCCCTGCATTTCCAGAGGGTCATCTATAATATATGAAGGGCTAAATGGTTGGGACCTGGTGAAAGCAGAGGCTAATGTTAGATTACAGCAGCTGGAAATGACCCAGCAGGTTAGGAACAGCAGAYAGTCGAGCCTGGCAGTAATAAGCCACAGTGGGATTCCACAGTGATGCATCAGTAGTCGCCGCACTTAAACACAGACAGCGCAATTAAACACAAAATGAAAACCAGTGGTGCGCATCAGAAGCCTAAAGTAGCGTGAATGGAGACACAATGAACTGTGGGCATTTGGGAGCGGGAGAATGTGCACAATTCCTGATGAGGTTTTCAGAAAAAAGGAGGAAAAAATGATGAAGTACTTATTTGAGATGTAACACATCTAAAACGGAAAGTTGCACTTTGTTAGTTTTGGTGATTTCTTTTTTTTAATGTGCAGAATGTGGCATGTAAGCTTTTAAGGTGTGCAGCATGCAGAATGTTAAAAACTGTTATCTTGTTCACTTTCCAGCCAAAATGATAAGAGATAACACAACCACTGATGACAGCTATATTTGTTACATTTAAGGGAAGTTTCCAGGAGATAAAAAAGATTAAGTAATTGTAATTTACAGTATGTGTGTTGTTATCATACTGTATTAAAAAAACAAGACATCAACAGTAATACCCTTTTTTTCTCCCCATTATGGTGTCTCATTTAAAGATAAATGTTGCTGTGGGTAATTCATATCAAGGCTGTGTGGTAATCAGAAAATGATTCAACACACAGAGCACCTTATGTGTGCTATCACCGCATGACTCTGAATAAATGCAAAATTCACAGTTTATTGCAAAAAAAGTCCTTATTCCAAAAGATGGGCACAGTCTAGTCCAAGGTTATTTAATTGGCGGGTGACTTCCACTTGGCCGATCAATGAACAAAATTAAAAAGTAAAAGATAATGATACTTG